GCCGCCCCTCTCCAGGCCTGACCACGCCCTAAGCCAGCCTCACTGGGCCCGACCACGCCCCAATCTGTCCCTTCTCCCAGTCCCGCCCCCGCCATTCCGCAGCTTGGCAATCTCACTCTCCCCAGAAGGAGAGCTGGTCCCCGCCCGCACTGGCAGCCCTGCGGGATGCTGCGCTCCACGTCCACCGTCACCCTGCTCTCAGGCGGCGGTGCCCAGGCGCCAGGGGCCCCCAGCAGGCGGGTGAGTAGAGGGGGAATCTGAGTCCCGCTGGTTGTGCGTCCTCGCCTGTCTCCTCTTGGCCTCTCCTGTCCCCTCTGTCCCTTCCTGTCCCCTCCTATCCCCTCTGTCCCCTCCTGTCCCCTTGCCAGCTCAGCTGCAGGAGGAGCTGGGGGAATTTCTGGAGTCCAGAGTTTCTTGCTCTTTCCTGTTTCTGTCCCCTCGCAATGGTGTCACTGGATTAAAAAGCAAGGGAGACCCACAAGTGATGATTGTTTAAGATTCAAACTTTCCTCCTTCCTCAGATTGGAAGGAAGGAGGCGTCCTGTGCCTGCTGGTGATAGGGCATTGCTGGTTCTGGAGTGGGTGTCGCTTCTGAGGTGCCTGTTTGCAAACCAGGCTGTTTCCCACAACCCTGAGACCCAGGCTTATCCCCACCACCGCCTTGGCAGCAGACTGGCCCTAAAAGCCCTGAGTGGCATGGCCGGGAGGTTTCACTGTGGAAGTTGTTTCTCTTCAGTCTTTGCAGCATCCCCCGCCCCCGCGACTTCTCCAGATGCTCTGTGAAAGAATCGCTAGGTGCATGCAGGGTGCGTCTTACACATTCCTTGCTTCTTCAGAGATCAGGGCCTCAGTGCCCACTGTCAGGTGCTTGGCTTGTGGCTTTTCATTTCTTCCATTATTATGGTACTCAGTACAGATCATGTGGCATGTCCTTACTGTGATGGAGACTTCCCCAGTCAAGTTTCCTCCAGGTTTAGCTGTACTGGTGATTCACTTCAAAGCCAAGCCCACTTTGGGACTCTGGAAAGCCCAAGACCCATTTGGGACTCCTGTCTGCTTGATGGTCTTGTACTCATGTTTATGTGCGTTTACACACTTTAGCCAAGTGACGGTGGTCACCTTGTAAGCTTTCTTTAGCTGTAAAGGGAAAGGTGGGTGTTATCTTGCGTGTGGGCCAAGTGATAGAGTGTGTGTGGGTGTATGTGTGTTTGTGTGCGCATGCATGCACCTACCAGGTACATGGTGATGAGGCCAGCCAATGACTTCACCGATTTCAGGGAGCTTGAGAGGACTTTGGAATTCCCACGGCTTTCCTCCCTTCAGCCTCCTCCACATAGTGAGATGCACTCGGGTCCAAGCGAGTTTCAGCCACAGCCCTGGCCTCACTTGTGTGGGTATTTCCCTTTATTTCTGTGTAAATCTTTGTTGATTGGAACAGAGTTTTGATTGGGAAAGAATAAAGTCACTGAAATGATAGTCCAGCTCCCTCTAGATCCCGGGTCTGGCTGGGGTGGCACGCGTGGTCCTGTGGTAGACGCAAACGCAACTAGTACACCGCATAACATTTTGAAGTTTTGTTTCCCCTTCAAATATTTGCTTTTGAGTATTTCTTTAGTGCTAAGTGCTTTGGTATCTGGTACATTGTGGCACTGTTGAGAGTGCTTTGCCTTTTGAGGAAGACTGCATAAATACCTTGGACCAGAGGACTCTGGCTGTGAGTCAGACCATGCAGGGCTGTCCTGGGCACTCTGCTATGTTTCTGTGAAGAGGACATTTAAGGGTTCTAGAGTCCACCTTATCTTTATGATTCCCTACTCTGCCCTTGATTTATAAATATCCCAAGTGCTTGCTGTGTGTGTGTGTGTGTGTGTGTGTGTGTGTGTTGAGGGATGCGGTGTGATTGAAGTGGTGACCCACTGGTCGATTAATGGACTTTCTGAGCATTTATGCATCTCTGATAATGGTGCAGGGTGGGACACTGGGGTCCACTCTACCTGTGAGGCAGATATTGTTACAGACTGCCATGGTCCAGGGCTGTGACTGCTGCAATGGGGTAGGGTGTTCCCAGAGCTCTGTGAAGTTAAAAGGTTCTTCTCCGGGGGCTCACTGCCAGGCCTGCATGAGCTTGGTCTTGCAGCATGAGCAGCAATGTGTAGGGCAACTGACCCTGAAAGGAGAAACGACCACTCATCCAAATGCGATACTCGACATGGGCTATATGACAATGCCATGGTGGACCTGCTTTGGGCAAAACACGTTTTTTTGGTTTTGTTTTGTTTTGGTTTTTAGAAAAAGAAGAATGGAATGCCTTGAAAATAAAATTGTAAGCTGAACAGATAACAGTGAAAAGTGTCCCCGAGATTGCAACATTTTCATCAGGCCTGTACCATTCTCCCATTTGTCCCTGATGATGGACAACTGATGACCTTGAACAGAACACAGTGGCTGTTAAAACAAGCCTACGTCTCACCCACGGGGCTTATCCAGTTAATGGCTGTGGGGGAGACCAGGCTATGTTGGCCTAAGCACCCAAGCCAGCCAGCATTGGTGGTGACAAGTCACAGTGTGCACAAGCTCTCCAAGTCAGCAGCCAAGGGCAGTGGGGCCAACCAGACTGTGACCAGTTATCTTCTGTTCAGTGAGGCCACCTGCAACTGTACTTTCTTCTTATCTGAAATCATCTCTCAAGTGGGAAAAACAGGTGGGGAGAGTAATTTCTGTTTGCTGATAAAACTCAAAGGCATGTCTGGATGCCAACTAGCCCAAGTTGTGAAATTTAAAAAAACAAAAAACAAAAACAAACCTGCCATCAAACCAGCTGTGCACTAAAAATAGTTTTATCTATGGCAACAGCAGGGAGATACATTGTTTAGGGAATAACCAGAGCCAGAATGATGACCTTGGGGGATGGAGGGGGCATTTTAAAAAATATTGACATTACAACATGGTTTTGAAAGGAATGTTGTAAACAGAAGTTAATTGCTGCGTGAGCCTTTGGATCAAAAGGGCACTTCTATAGCCAGGCTGTGCACTTGGGGTTGAAGGCACCCATCGCTTTGTCCAAGCTGTCCCTCGAGGATGGGGTCAAATGCCAGGCCTGTCAAGTGTGTTCTCCGGCACCAGGCTCTGCTGACAATAAGAGACTGGTGGCTGCTGTTGGTGATGGCACAGCCTCTCAGTGGCATGGAAAAACCAAACCAAAGAAAACCCCCGAAAGCCTCAGGATGGAACTGTCTTCTAGCCTGCCTGTGCCCTGGCTCAGACTTCTTCTGTTAAAAACCAGAAAGGGCCTGGCAGCCATCCCTTCCTGGTGAATGCACCACTCCAATGTCCCATTGCTTTCTAGTTGGCTCAAAATAAAGAATTTCCCCTAGCCAGGCCTCAGAAGCATCAGATAGGTGTTCACATTCCTTCCTTTCCCAGCAGACAGAATCATCTGCGTCCACGAGCTCTGTGACATCCTGCAGGCACTGAGGAAGGACAGGAGGTGTTTTGTCAGACCTGGGCGTCTGGTAGAAGGAAGCTGGGGGAGGGCAGAGTCCTGCTGCATCCAGAAGATGGGCTGAGTCTCCCTCAGAGTCCTCTTGAGCCAGCCCCTGATGTGCAAAGGCCCATCACAAGTGCAGAAGTGAATTTCCAACTTGCGTGTCTCTACTCTCCCCTCGCACTGTGTTCAGTGTAGGCCAGACTCTTGAGCAAACTCAGTTTATGGAGGTCTCACGCTGGTTCTGGGGTTCCAGGGTGGGGTTCTGGTCCTTTTTCTTGTCCCCAGGGCACTGCAGAAAGGCTGCATGTGTTGTGGTTCCCCTCTGCTGGGTGGCCACATCGGAAAGCCGGTGTCCACCACCATACTTTGCTCACTTGGGAAACCCTTCGGGGGCTGAGTTGTCCAGTTGAGTCACCTAGCTGAGCGTCCTGGGCTGACTCAGTAGAGAACAAGTTCAGATGCTTCAGCCCGCAGCTCTTCAGCGATGGACTGTGTTGTGGTCTTAAAGTAGCCCGAGGATTTTGCCAACACGCAGAGGAGTCATGCAGTGATGTTTGCCTCATTCTCTCTTCAGATGAGTGATAGCTCCTAAATGTCAGTCACATTGCTGACTCTGATCCATTTGTTTGCAACCACAGTCGAGTTTTCTAAAAGGCAAATCCAGGTCCCTGGCTCCTTTGCTTCTGGAGCCCCCTTGGTGCTCCCAGGAAAGACTTCATTCTCTGTGCACAGCATCAGGATCCTCTGTCTGGCTCTCAGTCCTCCATCCCTGCGTACTCTCTTCCTGGATGTTCCACATTGCCACTCCCCAAGGCTCCAGTGTTATTCCTCATGTCTTTGCCTTTCTCCCCGCTTCTCCTCTGATGAGAGCTCTCTCCTTGGGAAGTCTGTCCCAAGTCCTCTTCCCCTCGGCTTGCTCACATTCTCTGTGACTGACTGCTTGAGAAGAAGGCCTGGTGGGATAGGTACTCAAATAGAGGAGTCTTGCCGGGGTCCTGAAGAAGCCAGTTAACATGCTGTTGGCAAATGGGACCATCAGGTCAGAAGCCTTGGGCTGAAGCCAGCCCAGCACCTCTGACCCATCTGGGCAGGAAGCAGGTGACAGCTGGTTGGAATGCTGGACAGGTGAGGAGGTTGATGGTTCTGGGAGGCCTGCAGATGTTCGGGTTGCCTCATCCTGTTGCACAGTTGGAGTTTCCTTTCTTCAGTGCTCAGTCTTGGGTTTGCATGGAATCACCAGGAAACTTGAAATAGCTGTGCCCAGGCTCTACTCCAGATCAGCTCAGTGGGAAGCTGTGAAATCAGGGAATAACATCCATATTTTTGGGGAAGCTTCCCAGGTGATTCTGAGCTGAGCCAAGGATAAGAATACTTCTTCAGCATTGCTCCTCCCTACATCTTTCTTAGAGAGACAGACATTCCTGGATCAGTGTTCCAGAAAGGTTCCTCAGGCCTTGTAGGAGGGAGGGGAAAGTGTTGGTGGGGGCAGATCCAGGAGTCTGAACTCTCCAGGGCATACTGGTGGCTTTGTGCACCATCCCTGACCTGTGGTTTCTCTCTGGATCTTGGCATCTTGGGCACATTGTGCGCCTAGCACAGAAGTAAGCCAGAGAGAGCAGGGAGGTGAGGTTGCTCCTACTATTGATGAGTTTTGTCTGAGGTAGCACCCTGACATGGAAAGAGAGGGCCCAGGACACTGTTCATCTGGAAAAAGTGTCAAAGTAGGTAGATGGAGGAGTCCAGCTACTGCCTC